AGAGAGAGAGAGAGAGAGAGAGAGAGAGAGAGAGAGAGAGAGAGAGAGAGAGAGAGAGAGAGAGAGATGAATCTGATAACATGACGGATGGGATGCGCCGAACCAAGCCTACACTTAAAGATGTTAATATTTGGAATCTCCCAATTACAGCTAAATCGTGACTGCACTGCCTGAGAAGAAGAAGATGAAAAAGCAAAGGGAAACTGGGCACCACACCTGAACTGCAGACCCTGAGCAGAGATACGGCGTGCAGACGTCCAAGAGGTCATTGTAGGGTGGGTTTGAAGCCAGGGCAGCTATCTGCAATCAGTTTTCGAGGCACCAGAGACTGTTAGAGCTCAAACCTTTTCAATTTCTTTTTTTCATAACTGAAAGCAGATGCCACCAACGGGCCTCACTTAGTTGGAACGCACACGAGTTGTTGAAGTACAGACCTGTGTTCAAATCCAAATGGAAATAGATGAATGAAATTCTGAACCACCAGGGATGGTCAGTTTGAGGATAATGTCTCCCACCATCACCCGTTTTGAAAAATGAACGGGAAGAAGAAGGGAGAAGGCCAAAAGGAGGTTAGCCCCTAACATAATCGATCCATGAAGCTTCAAACTTGTGACCATTTACCAATAGCTACATGCATGCACCAGTCAACAGCAAGGCTGGGGTAGACCTCCTGAAGGCGTTATCTTTTGCCAATGAAGATTCCTCAGTCCAACGTCTAGCTATCATAAGCCAAAACCCTCGAGTAGGATACCCCCGACAGGAAACAGCCAGAGAAAACTGTCCGACAAGGAAAGGGACTGCTTGTTAGCCACCAGAGGAACAAGGCATATATCTGATAATGAAGACAACATACAGTATACAACATTAACAAGCCAGACAACAGTAGACATAAAAAGACAAAAAACAGGAAGACAAAAAACAACACCTGATTCCCCTGAGTTAGATGTCAGACACATCCTGGAAAGTTCATAAGAAATGCTATCCTTGTCTTCTGACCCCGGAGTTCGTTGTTTGCTTTTACATAGATCCCTAGATGTGTGAGCATAATACCTCTGCTGCATGGATGAGCAGTAGACATATACACCTGTTGCTAGGGGCATTTCACCAGATGAAATCCAGCTGGATTTGATATTGTTAGGGGCATTTCACGTTTAATTAATGTGATCCAACTGATGCCATCATTTGCTGTTCAAGGGAAAGATATGTTCCATCTTTTGGACCAAAAAGCATTTCCACGCCAGATTCATAAACAGAGATGCTCTCTCTCTCTCTCTCTCTCTCTCTCTCTCTCTCTCTCTCTCTCTCTCTCTCTCTCTCT